TCGAGACTTCAACAAGGTGACATTGCCTCTTTTGAGATTATTGTAGAAGAACACTTTGTTTTAGTTGAACTGAGTTTCTACTTAATGACTTCAATACTTGTACCATCTAAGGAGATAGACTTGAGACCCAATCTGTTTTAGTTGATTTTCATTTATATTTGCATAAAATAAATTCTCGACATTGAGGACAATGTTGATTTCAAAAGTGAGGAGTATTTGCATTTCATGCATGACGTTTCGTTCATACTTTTTGTTTTAATTGTTATAGATTGATAGGAGATTACTTTGGAAAAGATGACCGACACGATCGGGAGGAAGAGTTCAAAGTTTAAAATGTTTGATTCACATAGGAAGTCATGGTCGAGATACATTAACATTGGTTTGGATGATTTTCAGGGTGAGCAAAGCACCCAAGTGAGTTTTGAGCTTTATTCCTTCTTGTGTGCGTCACTCATGACATGAGAACCTTCTAGAACTTGATTGATTTATCTGTGTCTGTAGGTATGATTTAAGTCTTTTTTGTCTTAGCTACTTAGCCAAATAGCCTACGCTTACCTCAAATTACCATTTGAACCTACCTTTGAGTCTTAGCCTTTTCTTGGATTTAAACTCGATATTTAAAGTCTTTTCAATCCAAAACTACTCACACCCAAACTTAAAGGGAAGTAAACAACATGAAATTATCACAAAAATCCAGTTCTACTCAGCCAACAATTCCAGAAAAAGGAGAAGTGACAAAGTATCAAGAAAAAAGAAAAAAAAATCATTTTATTTGTGTGTAAAAGTAATAAAAGAGCTCTAAAGGTACTCTAACATAAAGGTGACGAAACAGAAAAATGCAACTGGAACAAAGTTTCACGATACATTGATTCATGTTCTTCATTTTCCTGAATTCTTAACCCACTTTCCTAAAATAACCTACCTTGAACCCTAGCCCCAGTACAAGCCAAGTAAAAGTGTTATTGATCTGCTAAGGTATGTGTTCTAATGGTGGGCATTTAAAGATCTTTTAAGGCTATGGTAAATGATGATATCATGATGTGATGATGAGTGAAATTTTCAGCATCAACACTTGAGAGATTAGATTAAACACTTTACCACGAGAGGATGTTCTCTTGAAATGAGTCTGGAACTCTTAAAGAGTACTTGACCATGACAATACTTTGTGAGTTATGATCTTGATCTATTTTTTTATTTTCTCACTTTTGGTTGATGAAGGTTTTCTTAACTATTGTAGTTTTCATGATGTCACTAACGTTTGCGACAGTGTCCATCTTTTATCTTTTACTTAGAAGTGCAAAAGAGCAAAAGTGAGGAATATTTGATATATGTCATTTTACTCTTTATTTTTTTTATCTAAAAACATTTTCTAAGTTAATTATTTTATTCATAAATCATGCATTTAACATGTTTTCATTAAAAACATAAATAATTCAATTTCTCTTAATTTTTTAGATTTTGCATAGTTTTAGCATAATAAATAATATACATACATACATCCACAGTGCATATTTCTTTTTCTTTTATTGTAGAAGAATTAATTTGAGATGGACCAAATTGATATAAAGAAATGTCTAAATTGATATCGTCAAGCTTCACTCTTCTTTGAAGTCCAAGTTTGCTTCTACAACCCACTTACAAAATGGTACAAATGGAAATTTTAAATAAAAAAAATTAACTCGTACGGGAATCCAATTTAGCTGAATTAAAGACTAGTAACAATCAAGAATTAAATGCAAATCGGTACTGGATCACTCAAAATAGGAAAGAAGCAGATTATTTTTCCAATCACTTCTAGAAATTTCTTCTCACAACAATCCAATTTTGCAATTTTTTATTTAGGAAACATTTAATTTTATTGTAATTAATTTTAGGTTTAATTTCTCTCGTTCAATATCCTATAAATAAAGGTCTTATGACATCAATACGATAATAATCTTCTAGCTTCGGAGTGAAAATTTTTATTTAGTCTTGTCTCTATTTTCTTTTTTGTTCTCAGTTTTTAGTTTAACTTTTAATTAAGCGAACTCATCAATTGCTACTGCATTTTTATTTATTCTTTTTTATTTAATTTGCAATTTCTATTGAATTTTCTAATTTATATTGTTTCATTTACTTTATTCATTCAGTTCTCATTTTGATTTCTGTTATTTAATTATTTAGAATTTTTATTCCAAGTATTACTTAATTTTCATTTTCAATTCATCTCTTTTCCAATTCCAATTCTAATTCTCAATTTAGTTTTACAGTTATCACTTTAGAAATTTTAAATTTAATTATTGCACTATTTTATTTTAAAGCAAATCTTGATTCTTGCAATTTTAATTAAAAATATTTTATTTTAATTTTATATATTTTATTTATTTAAATTCTGCATCAATTTAATTTTAATTATTGCACTCGTTTTATTTTAAAGCAATTTTTTATTCTTGCATTTTTAATTAAAAGAACTTTATTTTAATTTATAAATTTCAGTTATTTAAATTATGCTTCCGTTTAATTTTAATTGTCGTTAATATTCTATAATAATTTGATTTTAATTTTTATTATTCCGTATCAATTTATTTCTTTTTCACTCTTTCACTCATCCCCTATTTATTATTATTTAATATTTTAGAAAGAATAATATATGATAATGAGAATGTTCTTATAGTTATGTTCTTGTGAGATTAGCTATATTGTTTTAGTTTAATAACTTGTTTATTATTTTGTACGACCAAAATGTTGTTATCATCTATCGAACAAGGTAGATTGAAATTTGAAAAGAAGCATACATATCCTTTCAAAGCTCATGTAGGTTATATGTGGAAGTCAAACTTAAACACTATTAATGGTGTTAAGAGTCATGTGGATAATATGAGAATTTACATGATGGACATTATTGCAGAAGATGTGTCTTTGATAGATTATCATACAATCCTAAATTTTGTACTAGATATCCTAAATTTAATTAATTAATATTTAAATTATAATATTATAATATATTTACATATTTTACCTAATATTTTTAAATATAACTATTTTGATATATAAATAACTTTTAACATTGGATCAATCACCTCACCCTTCTCTTAATTTGGCAGATTGGCAAATTAGGCACGACCCACCAAAACAGCCATTTTCCCATCTCTATGTAAAATCAAATCAGTGATTGTTATATTAATCCAAATGTGGTGCAACTTTTACAGACGATGACAAATAGAATACGTCCGATACGTTTTTTACCATCTCGTTTAGCTTCTCATGGGACTAAAAGTGGAATTACAAGTATCCATATATTCTTTTAAATATAACTACATATTGTAACTAAAATCAAAATGAATTTATAATTTAAAATATATATTTTTATGTTATTCCAACAACATAAATATTATAATATTTTTATTTTTATTTTAAATATTAATAAATTAAATTTAAATTATTTTATAATAATAAAAATTGATGACTCAGTTCTCCTACTCATCGGTTTAGAGAACGGTGGGACAGAATTTACGGCATAATAATCCCATCCAACCTATTTTCAAATAGGTAAGAGGTGGAATGGGATAAAATTGAAAAAACAAGGACGAGTGTTTAACAATTGCAATTTTATGTATAAAAAAAACTAACAAAGAATTATTATAGGAAAATTATTTTAAATATCATATTTTTCCAATTGTAAAACTGAATTAACAAAATATTTAGTAAGTAGCTAATCTAAACTATAAATTTTAGATGACATCAAATTACATAATTTATATATATAAAATTAAATATGACATAAAAATAAATATATTATATAAATATATATATATATATATATATATATATATATATATATATTCTCATGTAATCGCCAAGATGAAATAAATATAAAATAATAAATAAAATCTTCAAATGCTCATTTTCTTATAACTATTTTCATTATCTTTCTATCCACTTTGTTATACGTGTCATTTGTAATTATACATACTAGGAACTGGATCGTAACGGTGTGATATGAAGATTCCTAGCTTGATCCTTTTTCAATATCTTGTTTTTTCAATATATTGTGTCCTTTAATGTCAATGTTTTTTACTCCTTAAATCTTTGATTTTCGATTTATGGTACTCTGACTTCCTCAATATCCACTACAAGAAAAAACGCTATTAGCGACCGAAAAAATCGGTCGCTAATGGCCAAAAATCAGTCACTAATCTGTTAGCGACCGAAATTAGCGATCGAAATGGTTGGTCGCAAAAGGGCAAGTCGCTAATTTGTTAGCGACCGATTTATATTTTGGTCGCTAAATAGCGACTGATGAGGTGGTCGCTAAAGTGGTCGCTAAATAATTTGGTCACTTATTTATTGAAGACCAAAATAGCGACCGAAAATAATATAATAAATCGGTCGCTAAATCGGTCGCTAAATCCGTGGTAAAGTTTTTAAAAATAGCGACCGATATATTCGGTCTCTAATATATTAATATAATTATTTAAATAATAATTAAAATCGGTCGCTAAATTGGAGACAAAGTTAAAAATAATAGCGACGGATATAATCGATCGTTAATATATTAATATAATTATTTAAATAATAATTAAAATCGGTCGCTAAATTGGAGACAAAGTTAAAAATAATAGCGACGGATATAATCGATCGCTAATATATTAATTGAATTATTTAAATAATAATTTAAATCGATCGCTAAATCGGTCGCTAAATTTGAATTGTATATTATAATAAATTTGTAGCGACCAAAAATTTGGTCGCTAATCTAACCAAATCTGAAAATTTTCGTTTAAAATTTTGTATATCCAATTTGACAAAATTTATACCTGCTTAATTCATCCAAACATAACACAAATGAAAACTTAAGAACTAAAGTCAAATTATTCAAATCATAAAATTTGTACCTGCTTAATTCATCCAAACATAACACAAATAAAACTTAAGAACTAAAGTCAAATTTTGTATATCCAATTTTACAAAATTTGTACCGCTTAATTCATCCAAACATAACACAAATGAAACTTAAGAACTTAACAACTACTCAAGAGCTTAAATCCACCATACTCATCCTCCAAGGCTTGGGGAACGTCCCAATGAAAAAGTGTCACATATGGTTCCATACCTGCATTTTTCACTATTGTTATTATGATTAAGAACCATATAGATATGGTATACTAGAGAAATGTAAAGATCTAAATAATAAATATGAATGAATCATGACCATTCTCCAGCAGTTCGTTGATGAGATTGTTATAGTAGTCTATTCCTGCCTGGTTTACTCCTGCAGAAAGCTTTCCTTCTGCAAATAATTCATGAGAAATTAATAATAGTTACTATGGAACACTAACTTAGAAAGACAACTTATAAACTTGACTTACTCGGTAATACCCTGGGCCAAGAAATGGAGAATCTGTAAGCATCCAAATTCATGTTCTTCATGATTCCAATATCCTCCTAAAAAATGTGAACCAGTCTATCATGACTCTACATATTACTCCAATTTTTTTACCATCCAATCTTTGATACATCCACATTCTACCAACGGGATCTCCATTCTTGCAAACTAACTACAACAATCAGCATAAGTGAAACTGCATTATTCACTTTATGTGATGCACTACTTATGTTTTTCTATTCTTGCAAATTAACTACAACAATCAGCATAAGTGAAACTGCATTATTCACTTTATGTGATGCACTACTTATGTTTTTCTATTCTTGCAAATTAACTACAACAATCAGCATAAGTGAAACTGCATTATTCATTTTATGTGATGCACTACTTATGTTTTTCTATTCTTGCAAATTAACTACAACAATCAGCATAAGTGAAACTGCATTATTCACTTCATGTGATGCAGTACTTACGTTTTTCTAATACATTTTTTCCAAGGTATTTATCCACTACTTATGCAGTACGTATGATACAGACCACCAAATAATTGTGTAAGTAAACCCAATAATTATGAAATTTCTTTTCACTAAGATCCAATAGATAAGTGAAACAAATTACAAATGGTTAACCTGAGGGCGTACAGTCTCAACAAGTTCCCAAATTGGTCTGTCAAGCACCACCAAATCCGCAGTAAGAGGGATCGAAGAACCTATCTACTTCACAAATCCACCTACAACAAACAGATAAAGAAATTTTGTCAAAAGTATCTCTCCTATATTATTCACAATGCAAGAGAATAACAGTATATACATTCAAACAAGCCACACCTTAGTTGGATTAGGTTAAGAACAGAGGTGTGGCGCGGTGGCAGAGGGTGCGGAGGAGGTTAAGAACAGAGGTGTGGCGCGGTGGCTCACAGGGTGGCGTCCGGTTGACGAGGAGCTTTGGTGGAGGTTGGATTAGGGTGAGGGCTGACTTGGGGGGAGCAGTGAGGGGGCTAGGGCTCGCCGGGAGTGAGGAGGAGATACTGGCCAAGGTTAAGAGGAATGGGTGAGTGAGGCGCGAGAGTTAGGGTTATTTGGGGATAAGTGGCGCGAGATAGGAAAGTCAAAAATGTGATTGTATATGATAGCGGTTAAATCTTAACCGCTATTATATAGCACTTCTAATAGTGGTTAAACCTTAACCGCTATTATATATTTTCAAATATGATCGATCATTTGAAAATGTAATCGATCATAATCAAAAAATGTGGATGTCGCTCGAGCGAGACCAGTGTCGCTCAAGCGAAAAACAACCCGAGAATGCCAATTTTGTGCAGGTGGCGTCGCTCGAGCGAGAGTAGTGTCGCTCAAGCGAAATACAACCCGAGACTTAACAATCTTAAAATATGGTTGTATATGATAGCGGTTCCACCGGAACCGCTCTTAAAGGGAACTTCTAATAGCGGTTAAACCTTAACCGCTATCTAATATACACTTCAGATAGCGGTTATAGTGGAACCGCTATTATATCCTCTCAATTATGATCGATCATTTCAAGTTATGATCGATCAGAATCGGATTTCGCTCGAGCGAGAGTAGTGTCGCTCAAGCGAAATACAACCCGAGAATTCACAATCTTAAAATATTTTTTTGAATATTATGTTTTTAAATTTGCTATTAGAGAAAACCTTTCAGAATTCAAAATGTTAAATACTTTTAAATATTAAAATTAACCTTATCAAAAATTAGGAAAAACAAATTTATCCAAAAGAGTTCAAAAATGTATAAGAGTATTCTCAATTTTGAGTTTAATTATATTGTAATTATTTTAATTTACATTTTGTGATCTTCTTAAAATTAGCATCAATAACATTAGACTTTACATTTGATTCATACCTAACTAATTATAGATTAAAAGGAAAGTGGTATTACTTTTCTATTTACCTTATTCTTTTAATTATTTTATATAATAATAATCAAAATATTCACATTCATATGGGCATTTTCGAAAATAATATTATTATATTATTGTTAAAATTAGCCTCAATAACATTAGACTTGATCTTCTTAATTATATTGTTCATTCTCAAAGTAGAAAATTATATTGTAATTATTTTAATTTAATAAAATATAATTTAAATTTTTAATACTAAAATTAAAAGATTAAATAATAATGACTTTAATTCTTTAAATTGAGTATTTAGAAACTAAAATTATAGTTTCTTTATTTTAAATAATTAAAATAAATAGTTAAAAATAAAAATCAAAACTAGTATTATCTTCAATTTATTAAAAGTGTAATTAAATCTCTATTTTCTTAATTTTTTTTGTTTCAAACTTCTCAATTCTACATTTTTGTAACTTCTATCATTATATTATCATCCTCATCTCCTCCCATGTTCTACTTTATCTTTACAATAGTTAATATTCTTAAATAATCTATATTTTTAATTATAATTTTTTAATATATATTTCAGAAATTAATCAATTCTAATCTATTATTTGAAAAACTAATCAATTCAAATCAATAATTTAGAAAACTAATCAATTATAATTAATTATTTGAAAAAATTATCAAATAGGATCGATCATTTTGAAAATCTAATTGATCAGAATCTGATTTCGCTCGAGCAGAGTAAGTGTCGCTCAAGCTAAATACAACCCGAGACTTAACAATCTTAAAATATGGTTGTATATGATAGCGGTTCCACCGAACCGCTCTTAAAGGGAACTTCTAATAGCGGTTAAACATTAACCGCTATCTAATATACACTTCGGATAGCGGTTATAGTGGAACCGCTATTATATCCTCTCAATTATGATCGATCATTTCAAGTTATGATCGATCAGAATCGGATTTCGCTCGAGCGAGAGTAATGTCGCTCAAGCGAAATACAACCCGAGAATTCACAATCTTAAAACATTTTTTTGAATATTATGTTTTTAAATTTGCTATTAGAGAAAACCTTTCAGAATTCAAAATGTTAAATACTTTTAAATATTAAAATTAACTTTATCAAAAATTAGGAAAAAAATTAATCCAAAAGAGTTCAAAAATGTATTATAATATTGTCAATTTTGAGTTTAATTATATTGTTCATTCTCAAAGTAGAAAAATATATTGTAATTATTTTAATTTAATAAAATATAATTTAAATTTTTAATACTAAAATTAAAAGATTAAATAATAATAAATTTAATTCTTTAAATTCAAGTAGTTAGAAACTAAAATTATAGTTTCTCTGTTTTAAATAATTAAAATAAATATTTATAAATAAAAATCAAAATTAGTATTATCTTAAATTTATTAAAAGTGTAATTAAATCTCTATTTTCTTAATTTTATTTGTTTTAAACTTCTCAATTCTACATTTTTGTAAGTTCTATCATTATATTATCATCCTCATCTCCTCCCATGTTCTACTTTATCTTTACAATAGTCAATATTCTTAAATAATTTATATTTGTAATTATAATTTTTTAGTATATATTTCGAAATTAATCAATTCTAATCTATTATTTGAAAAACTAATCAATTCTAATCAATAATTTAGAAAACTAATCGATTATAATTAATTATTTGAAAAAATTATCAAATATGATCGATCATTTTGAAAATCTAATCGATCAGAATAAAAAATCTGGTTGTATATAATAGCGGTTCCACTCGAACCGCTATTAAAATGGCACTTCTAATAGCGGTTAACCCTCAACCGCTATCTAAAATATACTTTAGATAGCGGTTAAAGTGGAACCGTTATTATATAGTTTCAAATATTAACTATTTTTTTTAATATTATGTTTTTAAATTTGGTAATACGTAAAACGCTTTGAAATCAAAATGTTAAATACTTTTAAATATTAAAATTAACTTTATAAAAATTAGGAAAAAAATTAATAAAAAATAGTTCAAAAATGTATTATAATATTTTCAGTTTTAGTTTAATTATATTTTTCATTCTCAAAGTAGAAAAATATATTGTAATTATTTTAATTTAGTAAAATATAATTTAAATTTTTAATACTAAAATTAAAAGATTAAATAATAATAAATTTAATTCTTTAAATTTAGTATTTAGAAACTTTCTTAAAAAGAGTGCTAAAGTTTACTTAATTGATTGCTCAAGGATGTGTAAAAACTGATGTTCAATGTGTGTTTAAAAAGTTCAAACCAAATCTGTTTTTATAGAAGATTTTCAAAACTGCTAGTTTAATCAATCTGTTAAAATAATCTTTTAATCTGTTAAAACTTCTTTTAATCCATTAAAACGTTCTTGATTCTTTAACAGATTTGTTTTAACTGATACGACAACGCTTATATCAATTAAAACTCTTTACAAAAAATCTTCTAATTTGTTTTAATCGATTGTTTCAGTGATTCAATCGATCGAAATACTCGCAAAACTTTATCGTGAGTTTTTCCAAGTGATTTTAACTGATAAAAATAAGTTTTAATCGATTAAAACGCTGTGTAGAAATTTTCTAAGTTGTTTTAATCGATTGAAACGTGTTTTAATCGATTGAAAAGCTCTGATCGGTCATAACTCAATTCTGATCGATCATATTCGATTCTGATCGGTCATAATTACATTCTGATCGATTATCCTCGAACTCTAAGTGGTTTTAATCGATTAAAACCAAGTTGTATCGATTAAAATACCGCAAAAACACTTCTCTTAACATTTTAAGTGTTTTTAATCAGTTATTTCGAAGCTTTATCAGCTTAAAACACCTGATGTAAGGTTTTCAAAACTTTCTTTAATGAAAACAACCTAGTTATTTCGAAATTATATCAGCTTAAAAACTTGTTTAAGAAAGCTTTTGTTAAAATACTTTGTTTTTAACTCGCTTAAACGTGTTTAGAGGCATTTTGTAAAATCTTTTAAGTGAAGAAACCTCATGCATGCAGAAAAGATAAAAATGATTATACCTAAGCATAGTCAAGACACACTAATTCCTCTACTCTTTTATCAAAGTGATCTGTTGACCGCTACAAAGTTGACTTTGACTTTATCTTTGACTTCATCAAATCAATAAGATCTTTGTCAGAGTGTTTCAATAAGATCTTCATCACTTTCATACAATAATTAATATTCTTAAGTAATTTATATTTTTATTTATAATTGTTTAATATATATTTGAGAAATTAATCAATTATAATCTATTATTTGAAAAACTAATCAATTCTAATCAATTATTTAGAAAACTAATAAATTCTAATCAATTAATTTTATTTGTTTCAAACTTCTCAATTCTACATTTTTGTAAGTTCTATCATTATATTATCATCCTCATCTCCTCCCATGTTCTACTTTATCTTTACAATAGTCAATATTCTTAAATAATTTATATTTGTAATTATAATTTTTTAGTATATATTTTGAAATTAATCAATTCTAATCTATTATTTGAAAAACTAATCAATTCTAATCAATAATTTAGAAAACTAATCGATTATAATTAATTATTTGAAAAAATTATCAAATATGATCGATCATTTTGAAAATCTAATCGAGTAGAATCAAAAAATCTGATTGTATATGATAACGGTTCCACTCGAACCGCTATTATATGTTACATTCGCTTGAGCGAATGCTACTTTCGTTTGAGCGAATGTTGACCTGCGTAAACGTTACTTTCGCTTGAGCGCTTGAGCGAATGTTACTTTAGCTTGAGCGAATGTGATTATATGATAACGGTTCCACAGGTGGCGTCGCTCGAGCGATGTTGCTTTCGCTTGAGCGAATGTTGACCTGCGTAAACGTCGATCAAAGTTAGCCGGATAATGTAACCTGGGTGCCTCATGTTTGAATCGGATGTCGCTCGAGCGAGAATAGTGTCGCTCAAGCGAAATACAACCCGAAAATGCCAATTTTGTGCAGGTGGCGTCGCTCGACCGATGTTATTTTCGCTTGAGCGATATTACAAAAATCAAATATAATCATGGATTATTTTCTCATTAGCGACCGATTTTAATTCGGTCGCTATTTGAATTTGTAATTCGGTCGCTAAATCAGTCGCTAAATGATTTTTTTATTTATGTATGAAATAGCCACCGATTTAGTGACTGAAAATTTGCGACGCACAAAAATTGGTCGCTAAATCGGTTGCTAATTGCGACCGAATTAAAGTGGTCGCTAAATCGGTCGCTAATTGCGACGGAATTAAAGTGGTCGCTAAATCGGTCTCTAAATACGACTGAAATTAAATCGGTCGCTATATCAGTCACTAATTGCGACCGAAATAATTCGGTCGCTAATTTCGGTGGCTAAATGTGTTTTTTCTTGTAGTGATCTCCCAATCCCCTTCTTCGATAATACTTCTTGATCGATTTCCTATTTTCATAATATGCCTTTTATCGATTACCACATTGATTCTTTACAATTATCAATGTCTCAGTCTTGATTCATTTCTTTCAATCTATTTGTAATTTAAGAATTAACAAAATGTCCCCTAAGATAATAATATATGAATCTCGATGAATATATATTCTCATATCCTAAATGTTAAATTAACCTCAAACTTTTGATCCTTACTTTATTCAAAAGATGTTTCATCCCATGTTTCCATCATTGCATTTTGTTCCCCTCATAAATGTTAAATCTCCATAATAAATGTTATTCTCTATATTGTCACTCATTTAGTCATCGTTGGCCTAAAATTAGGTTAAAATATTCGATTTATTGGATATGGGTCTACATCAAGCCCATTTACAATATTAGGTTTCCCAGGAAAAATCTTTTCTTTCAAAATCAAAATTACTAATCTTCCTCATCTTTACACATTTATCTTACTCTTTCAAGCACACCCTAATCACCACTTCTCTACATCCTAACTTTACTTATTCCATTTACATCCTTTTCCTCCTCATCGATACTTTTGATAACTTAGAAATGGTCACATCGTCCACTACTTCTCAACCCTCCAATATTCAACATATAATCACCCAAACTGTTGAACTCAATGGCAAAACCTTCGCGCCAGTTCTAGGATTTCTTGGCGAATTATTATGCGTTTGGCAAGCGTACCAATATTATCAATCGCAATACAATATTTCAATTAAATAAAAGTTGATCCCACGAGGAATGGTTTCATTGGAAATTCCAAATCATATGTTTACTAAGTGTATTGACACAAAATTGGTTTTTCATAAATATTTGGGTTGAAAATAAGCGGTAAAGAGCTATAAAATATATCAAGAAAAGATAAACTATAAGAACTTAGGATTGGATTAATTCTTTTTCCCTCCTTTGTATAATGGTTAGGTCAAACTAATAACATCAATTAACCTATCAATGTTGATATCACTGATAAAACATATTTTATTGTGTAAATACATATCATTATAGTCCTAATTACTCTCACATTTAAACTTAATTTCATGGTAGTATGATGTTTGTTAACTATCATTTGAATTATGGACTTAATTGCAAAACTAATTAAGTTTCGTATTTATTGGCAGTTTGACCTTTACTCAGTAATAAAGCCATATCTGAAGCTACAGAATTCCAAATTGAGAAATTCAAAGTGCTTTGTAAAGCTAAGAGGAAAATTTACAAATGTCTTTATCACGTGTATTGTCCAAATCCAACCGTAAGATGGCCAAAGTTGAGTACGAAAAAACACCATGGAAGCTGCCCTGCAGGTGTCCGGATTTGGGTTTCACTACAAGAAAAATACTAAATAGTGACCGAAAATTCGGTCACTAAATGACCAAAATCGGTCACTAACTAAAATAGTCACCGAAATAGTGACCAACTGGAATCGGTCACTATTTCCTTGGTCACTGATTTTAGTGACCGAATCAGTAACCGATTCAATGATCGAATCAGTGACCGATTCAGATGATCGAATCAATGACCAATTTAGTGACCGAATCAATGACCGATTCAATGACTAAATCAAGTAACCAATTTTATAACCAAATATATGACCGAATCAGTCACTATATCGATCACTAATTTTATTTTATTTTATTTTTAAAATAATAATAAACCTGATTAAGAAATATACAATACATTATATATTGTATCAAAAATATCAAAATTACACTACGCATGTATCCGTGCATCATAACTTATAGGCTTATAGCATAAACTTTGGGAAAATAGAAGAAGCCAACATTTGTTAAGACATCCAAGATAGAGTTTTAGAGACAAAAATGGCAGAATTCTTAATTACCACAACAACCGAAAAAAAATATAGTGGAGAAAATTGTCATCTTATTTATATAGTAGTCCACAATGCACCCATAGATATAGGAGCAAGTCATGTTCTCTACATTTTGTAGGACTTGTTAAAAACAAATAAATGATATACACGTTCAGACTTGAGATACAAAAAGAAATATTACTTTATTATGTTCCATTATAAAAATCAAAACATGGCCTTAATCACTACCAAGACATTTAAGTAGCTAGAGGCAGTTAATGAATGGAACAGAGAGCATGAACCCATTGACCATCAGAAAACTTCCTAAAAGCACCAGTAGTAGCACCATAGAGAGCACATTCTGCTCCAATATTAGGCTTCTCCCAGAAATTGATAGCAGATGCTCCAGAGTTTCTAGATGATAAATCTTCACGTATAACATCCTCTACGGGAAGTCCATCGCAAATCTGCAACAATTTCTTCTTGATGAATGGATGAATATAACTAGAAACTGCACCCTTTTTGCATTTCAAATAAATTTAAATTGGCTTTAAAGAAGAAAAGCATAACACAGAACACAGAAACTCCACCCTTTCACATTCTTGGAAATAGATAGATCAAGAAAGAGGAAAACAAAACACAAGAAAAGTAGGCAACACCACTTTTCTAGATAAGCATCACTCTGTACATACAAAATGAATTACTAAAAGCAGATATTGATATGATCATATATAAATAAAACTGATGCAATGGAGGAGAGTAAAATCTATATTAAAATCATGGGACGTGACTTCCAGAAAACCATTTTAAAATTCAAAATGTGACCATTGACAGAAACTGGATCAGAATAAAAAGAAATGGGAACAAAAACTGGATGAATAAACTGGACCCTCCACATTAATCTGGATTCCTATCAAATTACAAGATAAACCTCCCTCTCACAACACCTGTTTTTATGTCCAAGCAGCATACTTTAAATCTAATTATCCCACAACCCCAAATCTCAAAATTCCTACTTATTCTACCGGTGATGGGTCTACCAATCACCCACATATCATATCGGCAGGACGATCTATACTCAAGGTCTTTTGAGTTTGTGGGGCATGGCTTCATTGACTATCCCAAGCCCCTGTAATGGGTTGTGTCACACCATCATAGCCTGCACATACAATTAGATAACTGTTATATAACTTCTCTATTATTACGCATAACTATCCTACTATATATCATATAACGTCACTATTATTTATTAATTATGGCTTGTTATTTTCTTATTTCTCCTAGAGCAAACAACTTATAAATCAAGGGCAGGCTCATCAACATGAAAGTGTTTCTTATCAAACAACTTATTCTAGCACACTAAAACAAAGAGAACGAAGTGTTTTAATATGCTAATGCCTCACACATGTAAGACAATTTTAGCTTCCAGACATCGGTTAGCATCAAGCAGTATCAAAATGGATATTATTTAACAAAACAGTTAGTGAAGACAATCTATATGATCAAAACTTCCATTCATCTGTAACAAGGGCAGGTTGCATACATTAACATGATAGTGTTTCTTACAAAACAACTTATTCTAGCAAACTCAAACAAAGAGATCATTCTTTCCACCTTGGTTTATAGTACCAATTTTCCAAATATCATTTTTACATGTACTACCACATGGTTGAGCCAAGCAAGTTAAGAAATGCCATGTAACCTTATAGCTGACAACAAGGTAAGACCAAGTTAACTATCATGTCAATTCCAACTACATACAATTTTTTCTTTTAAATTTTCTAGTTCATTCGACAAAATCCAAATGATTCTGACCATAGGACAGTGATGTTGAAATTCTGAGATGAAGCTACAAAACAAAGAAAACAAGACAATGTCCCAGAACCATGTATTTGTCGGGTAACATTTCTAAGTACAAAATACAAAATCTCAGAACCTCAATCCGTAAAAAAACTGTGTTAGACAAATTCTCAATTATTCCCTAGTCCCACTTACAGAATCTCGCAGAGCATTCAATCAAACAACAGAGATCAACCCCGAATTGTCCAAAATCCAAATGCCATAATAATTCATAATGACAAAAAAAAAGACACACACATTCAACAAGACTAGAGAACACAATTACGAAAAAAACAAAAATTACCACAGAAAAATTGAACCACAAGTAAAACCAACAAACTCAAATATCTCAAAACAAATTAGCAAAATATGAAAAGACTTTGGATTGTAATTGTACCTTCGCCTTGGAAATGATTTTAACAGCAACATGTTTTCTTATAAAAGATGGGTGCTTGAGGATGGGGGTTGTGAGTTGGAAAATGTCTAAGGCTATAAGAAGTGGTAGAAAGTTAGGGGTGCTTCTTGATTTGGGCGTGATGAACGACAGGCTTGCGCTTGCGAAGTTTTCCTGATTTGAGACTTAAAAAGAATGAAGAAATGGGAAACACATGTATATGCGTAGGGTAGAGGAGGTGACGATGGGAAGGGGGAGTGGGGTAGGAACTACCTGTCCTCAAAAGCATAAAGGAGATCAGGAACGGACTGTAGATTTTCAAGAGGCTCCCCAAGTGTTGGCAGTCTCAGGCCATCCACGCCTGCCAAACATAGCAAAATGCCCCTTCAAAACTTCATTATTCACACTTATCATGTTACCATTTTTATTCAAACAAGTAAAGTAAAGTAAAAACTCACCATTTGATTAGGTACTGGAGCTGACCCTATTATATCCATTGAATCGCAACCCATTTGCAGCATTCGATGTCACAAGTCAAAAGCAGAACATAATAGAAATTTATAAAGAAAATAAAATTAAAAAAGTAATAATTATCAGTTGGTTTGGTTACCTTGCGTAGCCTCTTATGGCGTATGGTTTCGATTTCATAGAAGTCATCCTCGAGGTTGGTAATTATAAAATATTGGTTTCAATTTCATAGAAGTCATCACAGAGAGTAGTAATTATAAAATATTGTCAAGCATATAAGCGTTTTAGTTAACATTAACGAAGTTTAATGAATGATAACCAATTGAAACAAAAAAACAAGAAAAAATTAATACCAACCTAAAGGATGTAGTACTTAACTTTCCAAATTGTAATATTGTAACAGTGAAACCTTAATAAGAAATTAGCTCCCGTAGTACCAATGCTGCATAAACAACATAAAAAAAAGCATTACCATGTATCGTGTTTTTAGATTGACATAGGCACACGGGAGTTTGAGATATGGTGTTCATGAACTTCTGTCTTCGGATTAGAGATCGTGAGGTTTTGGAATGGGATTCGAGGTCGTTGGGTTAGGATTTTAGTTCGTCAAGGGTTCTAGTTCGACCTCCCTTGGGTTAGGGTTTGAGTTCGTCGGGGTTTGGGGTGGGGGTTCAAGATCGTTGGGCTCGGCTTAGGGTTATGGTTCGACACTAAAATTTGGGTTAGGGTTGAGTTGCTTTAGGTCTGCTGTGACGAGGGTTTAGGTTAGGGTTAGGGTTGGGGTTCCATGTCATCGGAGCTGGGTTTGAGCCTCAACTTCGCCAATATTGAGGTTGCGGTCGCAGTTCAACGTCACTTGGGTTTCGGTTGGGTTCGAGGTAACTAAGGATTGGGTTGACGTTCAAGTTCACATGGTTTTGGGTTGGGTTTTAGGTCATCGGAGTTGGCCTTTCAGGTGGCTGAGGATGGGTGTTCAGGTGGTTGGAGTTGTCAGGTCATGGTTCAATGGTCGGAGTTAGGCGAAATTGGGAGCGGAGCAGAAGTTCAGAGGCAATGTCCATGGTCAGCAATAAGGCCACGGTCAGCAATAAGGTCACCCTCAAATTTGTGAGCGCGAAGATAAAATTTGGGAGGATAAGTAACTGATTTTTTATAACCAAAAATTCACTTACTATATCAGTTACTAAGCTGAAAAATAATAATTCGGTTACAAATTCAGATACTGATAGTGACTAAATTTTTCAGTGATTGATTTCGGTTATTATTTAACATTTTTGTAGCAGTGTTTCATTTTATCATATTTTACGTTTTGGGCCAATTTGTCTTTAGATGATCCAATGTAGTGAGTGGATCATAATTGTTATGAGCCCAGTTGGAAAAACCTAGGTTAAATAGCCATGTAGAGAAAGAATAAAAGGGGATTAAATTTTTATGCAGAAAATAGATGTACAGAGGTAGTATTGGCACTAGGGTTTTACGTAAAGTTTTATTTTGGTTTGTTCTGTACTTTGTTCAATTTCAATTCTACAATTCGTTTTCAATTCTGCACTTCAGGTTCAATTTCAAATTCCAATTGTAATTTCAATTTTGCATGTATTCAGTTTTCTGAATTTTCAATTTCAATTTCCTATTGCAATTTAAATTTCGGTAATTCAGTATTCAAATTCAATTTCTTAATTTAATTGCATTCCGATTTCATAATTAAATTCCAATTTCTTATTATTGTGATAATTAAGTGTTTATGGATAACTAAATCTTTGTATTGATTTTTTGAGGAGAATGAAAGTAGATCTTTGAGGTTTTATTCTTCAATTTCATTTCGTTTGTTCTCTTAACTCTTCATCTTCTAATCTCAGTGTTGAATTATAATCTGTTTATGCTTAATAAATCGAAACTAATATCATAGTTTGCTTAATTTTGTGTTAGAGATGAGATTATGTGATGTATGCAATGCTTAATTGTATAAGGATAATTTGGGGTTGATCTTCCCTTAGTTGGTTAATTTCATATTGGAATCAGGGTTAAAGCTAATTTAGGATTAATCTTCGCTTAGTTGATTAATTTTGGATTGGAATATAATTTGGGATTTATCTTCGCTTAGTTAGTTAATTTCGAATTAATTTCGTAATCTAGGATAAGTGACACTGCATTGAAATCAGGAAATCAATTGCATTCTAATATATTTTTAATCCGCATTTTTATAATTTTTTTTGTTCTGTTTTATCTAAAATTTTAAATCAGAAAAATCCCCCTTTTGTTTCTGTTCTAATTCGAAAAATTGACAAGTTTTGATAAGAATTTGTGGTCTTTGAAAAACGACCTAGGAAAGTATCCTAGTACTACATTTATCTATTTTAATTATTTGACCGAGTACGACATCGATCACTCACCTACTTAAATCATTCACATTGATTCCTCAAACATGAAATTCATAAGAAAATTTTGTAAACATAGATTCCTCGTACATTTAATAGATGTCACAACATTAAGTTTAGGGTGTTAAGCATTTAATACATCAATTATCATTCCTAGTAATTAATGTAGCAAATATTCTTACCCTAATCAAGGGTTTCAAGATATATTTTCCAATATATGAACATCAAGGATAAAAACATAAACAAGCATAAAGAATAAGAATAACAACATCAAAAACATAGATTAATATCTCAAAATATCACCAAGATACAAAAGATTTCAAAGGAAGTACACTCAATCCTAAGAGAATGAAGTTAGTCACTCATGATGGTTATTACAAGGACCCAAATGAAGAAAAGATGAAGAATGAATGAAGATTGAACAAAAATTGGAGCTGCAGTCGCACCTCCTTCCGAAAACCTAAAAAAAAATTATCTTCTCAAAACGCGTATTATCTTTTTATAGAAGAATTTAGGGCACGTGTCATTCACTCAAGCAGCACATTCGCTCAAGCGAAAAATGTTCGCTTGAACAGTTGAATTCCTTATAGCTTTAATGTATTTTCGCTCAAGCGAGAATTCATCTTGCTTGAGCGAATATCAAGCTGACAAACTTCTCCCTTCTTTCAATTTTTGCTTCAATTATCTTGACAATTATGATCATTGCTCTTATACCAATGTATTCTACAATTTCATCCTATATTAGGAGAAAAATATATTATAATCAACATAATTTAAGTGGTCAGATAACAATTAAAAGCATAATTACATCAACTTTTACCACTTAACAATTTCCCCGAACCTAGAATCTTGTTTGTCCCCAAGCAAAGTACTAATTCTTCCAAAACAAAAATCCATTGCCTATTGTCACTTTCTCTTCCATAACACCTAACACAAAAATAAGTTTTCATCAACATATGATGTTCACAACTTCAAGTGAAAATAGGATACATGTGCATTATAGTTACAGAAACTAACAAGGGATAATTAATCATCAACTATCCTCAGAGAATCATGATCTCTCAAGTAAAATGATATATAATCATCTCTAACTCTCACGGGTAAGTGTTTATCTCATTCAATCATTTCATTTAGATAATCCAATATTGATAATCATCTTCAAGCAATCAATATTTGTTAAGTAAGACTTAAATCAAAAAGGTCTTTTGAGGCTTATAATGAGGTTGAGTTATCAAGGAATTCTTTGATTTTTCTATAATATACAATAGTATTGGAGAAATTGAAATTATATGAATGATTCTTGTTTAACATTTCCTCAAGTCATTTCTCAAACTTCATGCTTTTATTCCAACATAATGATAGTAAGTCGACAATCTAAATTTCACAAGTTATCATTCACACTAATTTGAATTTTCTTTTTCTTTCCTCATTTTGCATTTATCATTTCAGCTCAACCACAATATTTAATACTTTTCTTTCCCTTTTTCTATACTCAACTTTATCTTTCTTTTTTTAACAATAACATTCATAATTATTTCATTTCTCAAATATAAGAAGGTGGATAAACATTGTTTAGGTTCAAGGATTCTATTTCAAGAAACAACCTTATTTTTTTATTTTTTATTTTTGCTCAAATAGGGTTCAAAAGAATTTCTTCTAATCAGGGTTGATTATTTGGCTATAGGTTATTTCTACTTTCAACAAACAAAATAATTACTTTTATCATTTTCAAGTCTTGCTAACATGCAATCACATCAAAGAATCATAAAGTGTTGACACTCAATTGAACTGTTTTTGGGTACACTACTCTCTTGGATTTCAGCTAGCTTCTCCAATTCAGTTAATTCCTAATTCTCCTCATTAATTTCATTTCCACTATCATACTAATTATCCTAAAATCACTTGTTATTGCAAACTATCATACTTTTGATCCTCACTTTATTCAAAAGATGCTCCATCCCATGTTTCCATCATTGCATTTCATTCCCCTCATAAGTTCTAAATTCCACCATAATAAATGTTATTCTCTATATCGTCACTCCTTTAGTCATCATTGGCCTAAAATTAGGTTAAAATATTCTATTTATTAGATATGGGTCTACATCAAGCCCATTTACAATATTAGGTTTATTGGGAAAAATCTTTTCTTTCAAAATCAAAATTATTCATCTTCCTCATCTTTACACACTTATCTTACTCTTTCAATCACACCCTAATCACCAATTCTCTACATCCTAACTTTACTTGTTCCAGTTACATCATTTTCCTCCTCATGGATACTTTTGATAACTTAGAAATGGCCACATCGTCCATTACTTCTCAACCCTCCAATATTCAACCTATAATCACCCAAATTGTCGAACTCAATGGCAAAAACTTCGCGCCAGTTCTAGGATTTCTTGGCGAATCTCAAAAAATCTGTTAACACACAGGTACTAATTCTATATTCAGTAGGAGATGTTCCATTAGCCTTCAGATGACCATTGATACCTGGTCCTGACAAACCCGTTGACTTTCCTTATACCAAAGAAGGAAAATGTATTCTTCAAGAACCTAAAGAGAAATTTAGGATAGATTTTCTCTCTCAAACGTCCAAGTTATATCGCTTTGGTCCATCCTAGAAAAAACCAACCTATATTAAATTACTCAATTACCACATTCAATCTTTACAATTATCAATATCTCACTCTCGATTGATTTCTTTCAATCTATTTGTAATTTAATTTATGTATGATTAGTTAATTTATATATTATTATATATATATATATATATATATTTAAATATTTAAACACAATATGAAAATAATCATCAAA